AATATTCGGAAATAAACAAATAGGTTGCATTAGAAGTCCTACATAATAGTTTTAGTATGGCAGTGGAAAGATAATAAATGCTTTAATAATGTGATAATCGGTTAGAAATGCGTAAAAGTTAGGTTTATGTAATATTTTTCATTATTATTTCACTATTATTGTATGTGTTTGCCTGTTATTGGCTTCTTGTTGTTGGCAAACACGTAAATAAATTAATTGAATTGAATTGAATAAGCATCGACATCTTAAACAAAGAGTGTATTTCGTTTATACATATTAATTAGCCCTTTCATTTACACTGTGTTTTCTAATTTGTTTTTCTTTTTGTATCATATATTCGTTTTTATTTCTATTCTTGCGTGTAATTAACTATTATGGTCAATGCGGGAAATTTTTGATCTTATATATATATATATATACACATCTATATATTTAGTTTAGCCCGTTTGGTTTTTGTATATGTATGTATTACCAGTGCTCGCCTGTCATTGGCTACTCTCTGCCGGCAAACACTTTAATAAATGAATTGAACTGAATTGAATTGAAAAATAATTCATTATATTTAAAAATTAATCATATTTGACCAATTAAAGCCGACGCTCACATGAATATTATTTATGAAATCAGTTCGTACTTCGAAGGGAACACAGTACTCCACCATTACAAAAATTAACTGATTAAGAATGTTTAAAAAATAATCGATGCTTACCGTGAGAATCGTATGAAAACACATATATACAAAATGAAAAGATATTAATTATCAAAGAAGGCGCTACATACAGTTACCACTGGGCTTTAAAGGGTTAAGCCATTTGACTGTAACAGCAAAATGGAAGAAACAAAGTCTCTACTTAACACTGCAGATCCTGACCATCCTTCACGGTGCACGTGGTATTTGCTTGGTACTTAAATATCTGCAGCATATTACAAGACAATACCTAATATTTTATGGCAATAGGCCTAAATTACGTTTCATGAAATGCAAATTTCAAATTTAATAAGAGACTCTGATATTCCACTTATTATCATTCTTTATCACTTCTTCCTTTATCTTTGCCTACAGTTTTCATGTCGTTTCAGAGAACTTTTATATTAAAATAGAAATTCACATACATGTACGTTCGTGATATATAAGCTGACCTGTCGTTTAAAATGATTTATACCTCAGCAGTTATTCAAAGCAGGCAAAAAGAAAACTACTGTCTCGATGTGTATGAAAATACTGAGCTGCAAGATGTGCTTAAATGCAATACGCGAAACTGCAGAGCCTGCGAAGTTCGACCGGTCTGGACCTGCGGTAACAAGAACATGCCCTGACCTTGACCGGTAAAAAGTTATGGTATAAAGAACTTTTTTACATCCATAACATGAGTCGTGCCTCCGTTTATAAAACTATTTAAGTTTACTTCTCTGATTCCTATTGAGTGCAGGCTGGAATTTGTTCGAGATCGGAAATAAGGTCTAGGGGCAGAAAGAAAAACTATCTTTAAAAAAAAATTCGGGAATGGAAATCAACGAGTTTAAAATAAAACCTCTTCAAGTGCCAGATTTCGACCACAAATTATAAATGCACAGCTCATTAATTGAACAAGAGTCTTGATTATGAAACGGCGACGTATAAAAGTCTCAAGTGTAATGTACACTTTAAAAACGTTTATATTTTTTATACCAGTAATCTGTTGCTGTTTAATGTTGTCCTCGTGGCACAAATAAAGACAAGCAAATTTTTAAAAATTCATATCATACATCACCGCATAACTCTCGTATGAGAGAATTTTAAAGAAGGTACTAGTAAATCATTTTATCTCTTTATTTTTTAGTATGACAAGCTGACAACTCTTTGTGATGTGAATCTTGGTAAAATATGAATTCAATGTCACAGTAGAAACAATTCTGTCAAATTATTAATTTTAAGTAAGAGCCCCAGATACCAAATTAGAAAAAGAATGTATAATGCACATGAACGGAAAAACCTCATCTAAAACAAGGACAGTGGGTGCCGCTTTGAAACACTCGGTCCACTTGTTACGTTATTGCGCTCAGTACTTTGGCTGTGAGATGTCTTACAACTCGATCACCGAAGTATTGTTTGTCTTCGCCCCCTTGCAACGTGCCAACGTGCACTTGATTTTATTGATATTTGTCCTTACGCCAGTCATACTCTGAAAGGGGTGTAGAAAGTGCAGAGCGTCGACACTGGCTACAAAGGATGGTTTCCTCACAATAATATTAAATAAATGCAAACACCTGTCCTTTTCTCGCCCTACATGTTCCGAGGACTGCACTTACTAATGAGAAGGCGAATAATACTCCAAGCAATTATTTTCATTTAATCCTGAGTTTACAAGCACAGCGACGTTTCTTTCAGTCAAATCTCTTTTCCAGTTACTTTGGTATTATTTCATGCCTTTATTTTTGCGTCTGTTGAAGAACCTTAGACTAACACCGTAACATGTATTTTTCTCTTCATCGTCTGCATTTAACGAAATACAAGTAACGTATTTGATTGTACAGATTCAGACAATTTCTAGTACAGGGCTTTCCTTCCAATGGTTCATATCTATGAACGGAGCAACTGGAATACGTTTCTGCTCATAATATAATACAGTGGATCGAATCAGTGGTAACAAATTTTATTTTATTTCTATCGCACAAGATAAAATCTAACAAAGATAAATCTGTCAGCAATCAGATGACATTTTTGCCAATATTTAAAATAAATTCAAGTAATATGGGGATCTTGATGCAATTAGTATATGTCTAATTACTTGAAAAATTAATAGAAAATGATGTACCATAGATGAACCTTTAAAAATAAGTACAGTAAAAAGAAATATCTACTGCTGCACGGAATAAATCAATTGACAACGCAATCCAACCGTGGTTTCTTTTAAACAAGAAACATTCCGTACCGCCTAATTACGTCTTCACACACCTTAATGAAAATTAGTACAGATTAGAGTCTCACACACACACACACACACACATATATATATATATATATATATATATATATATATATATATATATGCATTCCTTCGGATTTCGGATGCAATGTTAAAGGTTAGAATATGTTTCAGCGGACATTGCATCTGCCATTTTCAAGGTGGGTATGAGTTAGGGCCAGTTGTGGAGGACAAAGTGCGATGGAAATAAACTTAAGCAGCTACATGTCCATTTTACTTAAAGAATGTACGAGTAAATGACACCATATCGAGCAGTTTTCTGATTACTTTGTTATTTAGGGCCTAATAGTATAATTTTAAACGATACAAACAAAACAGCATTAAATCACAGAAAGTTTCTTGGTGTAAACTGGAAAATATGTAGAAGAAAGCTTTAATGACTTATATTAAGAGCAACCGTGAATGGACCGGCTAAAATCACGGAAAACCTAAATCATGAAAATCGGTTAAATAGTCGAGATTTTAAGTTGATCGTTCTTGAATAAAATTACTGGTATTGCTCATTTGATGGCGACATTCAGTGCCACGTAGCTGCTGAAGAGTTTGTACATCCCCGGTATTAACCACCAATACCAAAACTTTCCATTTTCAGACCTCACGTGAGTAGGTAGATTCATCGTCTGTAGTTCCGACGCGAGCAAACAGACGCCTGTGACGCCCACTCGAAGTGCCCACGTCGGTCAGACTGTCTCAAACTAGGACAAATAAAATTTACGAGAGTCTTTCTTTTTCTTCAACAAGCGACCCAAACAATATGGTTTGCTGAAGTACTGCCAAGGAAACTGGTGTGGACACTGCGCAAAGAAATTGCATTTTATCTGAAATTTTGATTCTCTACTTAACAGTGTTTACCTTGTCTGATGTTAAGCGTCTGTATCTCAATGAACGTACTTATTTGCTATTTTATAAAAGAATCTACACGCCCATTTATAATTTTGCTACATTACTATGGTTGAATCTGTAAGAATGAAACAATAATAGTTGGATGATTAATAAGAATAATAACAAAACACTCGTCGCTTATTTTCTGCTTTTAAGTTAAAAGCCCATTTTATTCAGTATCAAAACCAAACGATAATGAAGAATATAGCTAGTCTTTGAGCCCAGGATAACATAGCGATGTAAACTATACCAAAGAGAGATATTAACTTACATACATTAGAGAACGCATAGATTATATAGTAAGTCCGAGTCCTGTACGGTGTACAGCAAGCTTCATATATTGCGGAGCGGAACACAAATATTGTATTAAGCATTTTTCGAATAATAATACCAACACAATTGCAAAGAGTACAGAAACAATCAGTTTATAAAATGTCAGTCCACATTATCGAATACAAACAAAAATTACATTTGCTACATGCATGTTATAAGGATATGTAACATTTTATGATTCATTCGGATTCTCGTGCCAGAAGGCAGACGTAAAGTTGCCATGTGCATTATTTTCCCACACGTTATAACACATATTTTAAAAACTCTTTCTAAATAAATCCAAATCTTGCCCATAACCCCAAATAATTATTGCTGAAAAAGCTTCTTCCAATCATTTTAGGAAGTTTTATTTAAAGATACTTCAAGATTGCAGTTTACACACAAAAAAAATACAATGGTAATTTTCAACGCAAACACAGTTTCCAGACAATCGGATGTTTCAGTCTACTTAATTTCGTTTCACGCTACACCGTTTAAAATTTTAGTTATTTCCCTCTCCCCTATTGCCAATCTTCTTCAGACTGTATATATATAATATAATTACCTAAATAGCTTTATTAGTCTATCATTCCTTTCCCTTTGCATGCCATTTCACTTCTCCTTTTACTGCAAACGCAATTCAAACCACATTCCTACTGTTTCTTGTTCTCATTTCGATCATCACTAATTCGTTACCTCCCACTACTGGCAGTCGACCCTCATTCGCATTAGTTCGCTTTACATTGCCGGCTGAAGGAAAGAGACATCAAGGCAATGAATGTCTCATCTCAGAATTGTCACTTCCACTTTTCATCACCATCCTTTCGCAAAGCGAAAAACCAGGCAATTGCGTTAGAGGCATTAGTAAAGATGACGTTCGGGGCGGTGGAAAAGTTGATGTGCACTGGGTTGGCGTGCTGGGTACAATAGGGAACAACCCCTTTCTTTAGAAGGAGTTAAGTAACCCCGTTGTAAAAACATACAGGCAACAAAAAGCACATACACAGGTTTCACTTTTAAGCAATACCGTTTTAAATTAACCACCGTATACTTTAACTAGTCTCAATGACAGATGCTCATTTCTTATTTTTAAATGTGTCTCCTCCGCGATGGCAGAAATAAGCATAAATGGGGAAAGTAAACGGAAGGTATTTACATGCTCATGAACCATGCTACCTAAATATATTCAAGTGTATGCCTTTCCGTCCGTTACTTACTATTTAATTGCATTAATCCATCGAATGTCACTCCTATTTCACAAAAGGGTTCAAATCTTGTGCCGGAAACCAGTTGCACCAGTTTCTTAGTTTTCCTCGGTCTCCCCAGGCAAATGCCAGATTAATATCCTATATTAGGCTATAACAGCTTCCTTCTACACTGAATTAAACACGTTTAAATAATAACATTATATGTGTGGCCTGAATTTTTCACGGTGATTAAGTATAATAAATTCTTCTCGGGCTACCAGCCGCGTCATGTGGTTGAAAGATGAAAACACGAACGTTTCGAAAAACATCTTCGTCCTCGTCTTCAGGGTACTCAAAACACCCTGAGGACGAGAAAGAGGATGGCAGCCCAGGAATAATCCATTATAGTAGTATCTATTATCCGACGCAAAATAATCTGACTCTGAGAATTTCGTTAAACAAAATATTAAGAAATACCGCAATTTTTTCACTTTAGACATCGTTAAACAGTATATGACACAGAATAAATACAGATAATGTTTTATTTTCTGTAACTGTAGATTAACATGCAATGCCTATATTGTCAAATAAGAAAACATAGGGGATATGCATACTAAACCACGATGTCTTATTTTTGTAATGGCTGAAAGGCTTCCGGGAATATCAAATGAAATATGATGTATTAAAGCGGGGAATAATTTGAGACGAGAGAGAAAAGGCAGTAGTCTACTTTGAGGTACCGAAGGAATATCAATCAGAATCGGAATATATCAATCAAGATCGTCGCATTGACATCATCAGGGAAATGGAGTAATGACAAGCCTTTTGTAATATATGAAGAAACTTTGACATCTTACAGAGAAAACTGTTCTTGTTTCTGCATGCCATCAACAACTACATATTAAAATTTGATTTAGGAAACTTACAGTGCTGTGCCATCGGTGTATGCAAATCTGAAACCCAAATTGATACATTTAATCAATTTCCTATTGACAGTAATACTATAAGTAATACAACAATTCTAACCAACTCATCCAATAAATAATTAAATATTTAATCACAGCGGTGACACATTATTAATTGCCTACTATAGAACTAAGTAATTTTATAAGCTTGTGAGGACCTAAATTAAAATATAAATGTCGGTAATATCTTATTTCTGTAATTAGTAAAATAAACGAATAATTAAAGAACTTAATATATAACGCAGTGAAAGTTTATACGATATATTATACGTAACCATCCATCGCACCTAACACTTACCAAGTAATTCGCACATATATAAACAAAAATAAGAATTTGTACATTATCTATATATTAAAATTAGAGTAGTCATAAAAATAAAACAATATGTGTTACTAGAAAACAACCCCTTTCGGCAGGTCCTGTAAGTTCACGTTCATCAAACTAAATAGTTACTAATATATTAATAATAGAATGTTAAAATAAGGCTTTCCGCAGTCTGGAGGAGCTTTGGGGAGGGGGGGATAGTTCTTTACCTCTACTCTAAATAAGGGACAGTAGTCAGCGAAACGTCCGGGATTCAGAATGATATACTTCGATGATGGTCTTTTGAGTTGTGTTCTAGAACTTATTACCAAAATTTGAAAAGAACATACAGCCTTTATCTTCAGTCCACACGTCGTCACTACGACGAAGACCACCAATGAAACCACCACTATGAGAAACTCCCACTTCAGGAAGTTGATGATATTCTAGAACCACAGGGACTGCAAGCATAATCCACAATTTTATTATGGCATATGTAATGCAGAATGGTGAATTTTTACACATCCAAACCATCCATAATTTACTTCTATGTACTCGTTTAACCATGTGCTCATGAAGAAGTGAAATTATTTTACCTGCCACTGTTAATAATGCGTGAAGTTAGAAGATTCTCGACTTGCTTTCATTGTTCTATTTCGAATATGCGTCTGTCTCCTCTTAACGATTACTGAGAAAAAATCACAGGTTCTCCTGAAACTTTTTAACACGTATTGGCCTACGTCTAACTGTAAGATTCTTAAATAATTTAAAGATGCTGTGTTAAATTCTGAGGTTATATGGTATCGAAAGAAACAGGAAGACAATCACAGAGTTTAAATAATTGGAAGGAGGAAATCAAGTATTTTTTGGTTAACATTGCAACATTAAACAAATTAATCCTCAATAACAACAACATCCGGTAACACGACCAAGATTTCTCGTCTCCCACACGTACATGTCCCGTCCATCATATCTTCTTCAAATTCATCACCCTAGTAAAAAATAGTGAAATTGACAATGTGCAATTTTTTCACGCTCATTACCCTTAAAACTTTGCATACTGTGTAGTGTATTGGAAAATAAAACATACATACAAACAAAAATATTCACACTTTGAAGGTCCAACAATTATCATTATTAATTCTAGATTATTTTAATAAGAGACTTGCATTTAAATTTAGCTTCTTGTTTGGTTCAACTCAAAACATTTAACAAATACGGTATAAAGTCTTTATAAATTTGGTCATAACTGCAATGCATGACAGTTATCTATGTTTAATATGTTCCAAACCTTCATTAAAATTATAAACACATAATGTTTTCAAAAGCAATAGTACAGCATCCGAGGGAAGCTTCAAGAAATATATATAGTCCATTTTGCTTCTTATGCTAATGCAGCATCATTAGCTAACATTCTGCCAGGCTTTCTTGTTGAATGGAGCTTCAATTGGTCGTCATTTGCTGTTTTACTTTTCAGTTGCTGGCCGTTTCCCTATAACTCCTTACGGTTTCCATGCTACTACATTGCCTCAACGCTTTCTAGATGCTTTTTTTACTTCAAAATTTCATCCATTCCTTGCATTTCTTACTCTCTCTCTCTCTCTTTTCTCCACAGCAAGTCACTGATTTATCACACTACGTAAATACATACAAATTAAAAATTATTACTTCCATACAGACAATAAACGAAATAAAAATAAAATAAGTAATTAAAAGTGTCTAGGCCTCTTAATTACACGTATAACGCCTTTCTGAAGCATACCCCTTATAACATATAAATTGGCCTTACCAAAATGTTAATTTCTTAAGCTCTTTACTTTATGCACATACAATGAACAGATAATGTGAGGGCGTGGCCGTCCGTCCGCGTATTTCATCTCCGAAAATGCTTCATCGATTTCAATAAAATTTCGAACTGGGTTCTTACGTTAAAAAGTGCTAGGCAAATTAAACACAGATGCAAAGCTCAAAATGAACTTTCGGTTTTCTCTAAACCACTTTATATTACAGAATATAAGCTATTCGTCCATTAAGATCTATAGATCTAAGATTTGATACTCTAACGTTGATAAAAAATGTCGATTTCTATCTTCTGGGTTGTAGCGCCACGTGGACTTCTAGGTAGATATCAATGTTTCGGATAAACTAATTGCCTTTATTTTCTTTCGAAACTTTGGTATCTACCTAGAACTCCACACGGCGTTAAAACCTACATCATTTAAAATTTGTTTAAAATATTTGTTGGTAAAATAAATAGGCCTATCTATCCATGTTAATCGGGTGAGCACAGTCGTGCAATTTTTGTTTTGATAAAGCAATAAGGACGTAAATATATAGGCAGGAAGACTATGTAGTACTTTGTAATAGTCTAATTCCTGAAATCAAAAGACTTGCACAACCCGTTTCAGACATATGATTGAAATGTTTAATATTAATTTTGTACCTGGTATACAGTTTATTTACTCTATTTCTGCTTCAGAAGAGTTTAGTTAGTACGTTAACCATCTATGCCTCTCACTGGTTAAACACAAAGAAGTCAATCCTTGGGCGATTTAGGGGCAAACCAGTACCTACCCTAACACGCAGTAATAGTGCGCATGCTTGTTACCTGTCGTCAGACTAACAAACTTATTTCTTTCATTACGAATTCAGTGCGTCGCGTATTCATACTGACTGAGATTTAATTTACGTAACTACACTTTCTCAACTACTTAGGCAATAGACCAACAGCTTCAAACCTATATCACTATGTTTTATGGGCTCGGAAGGTTATGGAAGGAATTGGTAGTGGCCGATATTAAATACTATAATAGCGTTTGCCTGATGAGGAAACCCACAAAAAAATTCAGTTAGGATAGCCGGTCTCCGGGTCTAGAATCAAACCCAATACTGTAAATTACGAATACAGAGCGTTCACTGATAAACCAGAACGCAGTTCTCATAGGGATATTACTTTCAGCGCCTCATACACCACAGGTAAGTTTACTTTATTCTTTCTGCACAGCGATACTTGACTCACATCAAAAAAAGTATTTTAGCATGAGTCATGCAGTTCGTACCGGGGATCCGGGAAGTGACAGTTACTTTCCAGTTTATTAACGAAAGCACTGGAAATGCTATCTACTACAGCAAGACGATCGGTGAATGCATATCACTTTATGCCTATTACGTCACAGCTCTTTGAGAGTAGCGATAGTTTTCTTTCGGACAGAACCATTACTCTTCCCTGCATACACAATTGAAACAGGCGGATTCTTGATGAATTAAGTTCCCTGTATAGGCCGCTAATTGTAATGTGCTGAGAAAAGACGACCTCCCCTTCTCCAAATCCGCCAACACCACTCATTATCTCGTCCAAGTCAAGCAAAATTCCTGCCGTCTCCACTTACTCATCCTTCTTTGGCCTCACATTACTCGTTATATATTGTTCATTAACTTATGTAACAAATTAGTAAGAGTGAATTTACAATGCAGTGCTGTCTTCAGGAAAATTCCTTGGTTCAGAGGCTGCAATTAGTATGCATAATTCTAGTGCATTAAACTTTGCAAAAAAATACGTGTTACTATTACTATTCATTAGTTATTATATTTGATAAATGCATTTTATTGTTACGTAGCCCGTGAAATACAAAACGAATTTAATTAAGAAGCGTTCATTACATATTCACATAAGGGTTAGACAATCTGCTAGTAACGATCCGACAACTATTAATATATTTTAAGTAGATAAAAGCATTCAAAATATAATTACTGTATTAGCTTTTAAGAAAAGAGTGAAGTAAATGCAAAAGGGAACACCAAAATAACTTAAAACTTCCTTTTCTTTTATTGTCGGACCAATTTTTGAAGTATTACCAGAATATTTCCAATTTAAATAATGACATGTAACTGCAGAAACCCAGGGCACAAATAGAACTACTAAGTTCCGGAGCGACTGCAGAACAAACTGTACTGTAAAAAAGCCACAAACCAACTTCAGGAACTATTATGCAGTTTTAAATCTAAAATGGGGTGAGTAGCATTTCTTTCCAATAGAACACTTAGGTCTTTACGATTTAATTTAATGTTTTAGCATACGACAAGCAGCTGGATACTGCTACATTTCCTGTCTAAATTACCACTGAAAAGTTTTCTTTGTTCCTTTTTGTAACCAGTCTTCATCAAGGTGACGAGAAAGTCGGTCAATTTGGTACGAACTCTTGAGTAGTGATCACAGAATGTTCGGAAAGAAGACGCGAAGAGCTATGTAAATTGAAGCAACCTTTCGAATTACCTCCCTCAGCCCATGTGAATTTTAACTCGCTTCTTATTTTCTTTCCCATTTCGTTCAGTCTGCATACTATTCAGTGGCGACTACATATAAATTGACAGTCAATTTTTATTTAAATTCTCACGATTCTGCACCAAGGCTATTGTTTCTTTTAATTGGAAAGTATTAAACTTCAATGTCAGGATTAAGAAGGTGATGAATGTTCGTGGTGTGGTTACGAATATGGATCTTTTAATAAATCTGAGAACAATTCAAAATCAGTATTCTCTTAAGAATTATGAAAAGAACCATGGTAACAAAATCACAGACAAACATACTCAGATGACAACGAAAATATGCATAAATATACAAACGTTAAGTGTTTAAATTTACTTCAGTAGAACTGGATCTGAGTTGAACTGTGGAATTAATGAC